CACACATTCATCCATACACATGTGAATGCAAACGCGCGCACACACACCACACACACACACACACACACACACACACACAGTCACACACACACACACACACACACACGACAGAGAGACACACACACACACACACACACACACACACGCCAGACAGACAGACACACACACACACAGAGTCTCACACACACACACACACACACACACGACAGAGAGACACACACACACACACACACACACACACACGCCAGACAGACAGACACACACACACACAGAGTCTCACACACACACACACACACACACACGACAGAGAGACACACACACACACACACACACACACACACGCCAGACAGACAGACACACACACACACAGAGTCTCACACACACACACACACACACACACGACAGAGAGACACACACACACACACACACACACACACACGCCAGACAGACAGACACACACACACACAGAGTCTCACACACACACACACACACACACACGACAGAGAGACACACACACACACACACACACACACACACGCCAGACAGACAGACACACACACACACAGAGTCTCACACACACACACACACACACACACGACAGAGAGACACACACACACACACACACACACACACACGCCAGACAGACAGACACACACACACACAGAGTCTCACACACACACACACACACACACACGACAGAGAGACACACACACACACACACACACACACACACGCCAGACAGACAGACACACACACACACAGAGTCTCACACACACACACACACACACACACGACAGAGAGACACACACACACACACACACACACACACACACACACACACGACAGGCATACACACACATAAGGAAAAATATCCAATCGTGACTGTAACTGCAGCCCAGTGCCAACTGCCCCATGACTTCATCCTCTTCCCTGTAAGGTCAGAGTAGATGTTAAAATATCTCCTGCCTGTGTGTGCTAAGTGTGTGCATGTGCACTGTGTGTATTTGAGAATCTGGGGAGCTTCCTAGAAGGGAGCATCAGATCCCCTGGAGTTACAAGTGGCTGTAGAGTCACTGCGTGAGTACTGGCCACCAAAAGCAGTAAGTCTGCCTCCTAAACACAAAGACACCTCTCCAGCCTCTACATGTTATACTTGAATAAAAACAAAAAACTTTTTTGTATGAGTGTTTTGCCTGAATTCATCTGTATACCATATTCATCTGTATGTTTTTTGTTTGTTTTTTGTTTCTCTGTGTAATAGCCCTGGCTATCCTGGAACTCGATTTGTAGACCAGGCTAGCCACAAACTCACAGGACTCCACCAGCCTCTGCCTCCAAGTGCTGGGGTTAAATGCACATGCTGCTGCCAGGCCCAGCTTGTATACCACTTTTTAAATGTGTGACGAGGACAGAAGAGGAGTTACAGGTAGTTGTGAGCTGCCATGTGGGAGCTGGGGATCAAACTTATGTCTCCTGGATTAGCATTCAGTGCTCTTAACACATGAGCCATCTCTCCAACTGCAATGTTTTATGTTTATGAAGTTTTTTTAGGTTTTTTGTTTGTTTGTACAGAGCTCCTTTATGTAGCCCTGGCTGTCCTGGAACTCATTCTGTATACCAGGCTGGCCTCGAACCCAGAGATCTGCCTGCCTCTGTCTTCCAAGTGCCGGGACTAAAATCTATATCACTACTGCCCTGCAAGCTTTGTTTCTGAGACAGGATTTCACTCTGCAGCCCAAGCTGGCCTTTAACTTTCAACAGTCATTCTGTCTCAGCCTCCCAAATTCTGGGATCACAGGTGTGAACCATCATACCACACTACATGTTTAAATTTTGTAATCAACTTATATATGACATACACTTAGAAAGACAGAAAATAAATGTACAATGTTAGATTCCAATTATCCCACCCATAGTTCTGCACAGGCCTTTCTTCTTGGAGGCCCTCATCCCCCACTTGGCATCCTCTGCTAGCTTTGATACCTGTATGCATGCTTGGCCCTCAGCAGCCTCAGGTGACCCTCATAGGGAAACATGTCTTCATACTCAATGAGGAGGCCATTTGCACCCAGTGCATGGAACAGGGGAAAAACCTGGAGGGAAAACAGGGTATTGAAAACAGTGTCAATCTGAACAACAAAGGACTTAGATGAAGTGTGCACCCTTTTCCTTTCTAGGTTTTGGAGAGGGATGGGAGCTGATATTCATTCATATTTCTCTTCTATAGACTTTAAATATGGAATGTGTATTTGACGTTTGCAGAATAAATTCTTGGTTAACAATCTATTTTGCACAGGAATGTAATGTGCCATTAAATAGCTGTTACCAAAGAACAATGAATTCTGGTGGTTCAGCTGAGGGAGGACTTGTACCAGCTGGGAGAGTCAATCTGAAGCCAGGCCAGAGGGGTCTAATTCACAAGAACCTGTGTGCCATAGAAGCAGGGGGCAGGAACAGCTCTGGAGAAGAGTTCAGTCTCTTAAAAGGAAAAGCAGGTGGGGTGTGTGTGTGTATGCAGAAATAGGGTTCAAAGTCTCAAAGCCTGTCCTCTCCTTCTCTGGCCACGTCCTTCCCTATCTTTGGGAGTTTTAGAACCTGGTCATGCCTACTATACAGAATAATTGGGATTTTTTTCAAGTCTGAGACCTCTCCCCCCACACACACACAATGTGGGCACTAACAAGGAAGTCTCTATCTATATTTAAAACAGCCATAAATCTCCAAATAAGAATCTAAATTTTTCTGTGTTGGTATTTGACCTGAAGCTGTATAAGGAAGTCAGATCTACTGGAACTTGAGTTACAGACAGTTGTGAGCTGCCATGTGGGTGCTGGGAATTGAGCCTGGATCATTTGGAAGAACAGCCAGTGCTCCTAACACTGAGCCATCTCTCCAGCCCCTTACTCCACCTTTCTTATTCAGGCTCACAGAAATCTAGTATTACCTCATCTTTTTTTTTTTTTGAGATTAAAAAATAGTTTGTTTAATGTATTGCTGTCATAACAAATTATTATAAACTTCATGGCTTAAAACATAAATTTATTCTCTTACAGTTCTGGAATCTAGGCGCATAACAGTTGCTCAGGCTAAAGTCAAGGAGCCGACAGGGCTCATTTTTTTTTTTTTTTTTTTTTTTGTTTTTAACCAAAGGTTGTACAAGAAATTTTCATTTCCTTGAATTTTGGTTTCTAGTGACTGCCTGTGGCCCCTTCCTCCTCCTTCAGGGCTGCTCACTGCATTGACCTTTCACTGTCTTGCCTTTTCTGAACCTCATATATGGTCCCATCATCTCAGCTTCACCAGATAGCCAGGGCAAATCTCCCTGTCCCAGGGTTCTTAATCACAGTCTGAGACACAGAGAAGAAAGTCAAGTATTTTTATTAGTATGACCTTGTCTTAATTGGTCAGTTCTTCATGGACTATTTTCAGGTAAGGTCATATGTACAGGCACTAAGTGTTAAGACTTGAATTTACTATCTTTTTGGTGGGTACAATTCTGCCACAACAAAGGCGTCGTGGTTTCTTCTGTTCTTTGTACTATCCTAGTTGTTCTGTCTGGCTTTGAGGGGAACTGGGAGAAAATGGAAAATCTATGCTCTGTCACCACCCTGCCTGATCCAGGGTCCTAGAGGTTGTGTCACCAGTGCCCACTGCCACAGAGTAAAAGGTGCTTACCTAGACGTGAAGGGAGTCCTTACCTCAGAGAAATACGAAACCTTTGGTGGTGCTCCTTTAAGGTCCAAATGAACTAATCTCATCTTAAATGGTGTGGAACAAGACATGCTGGTTTTGTTGTTTTGTTTTGTTTTGTTTTGTTTTTGTGAACTCCTATAACAGGATCTTTTTCTGGGTCTTCCTGGTGGAGAGACCCCAAGTTACAAACAAGAGCAGAATACTCCGGTTTCTCTTCAGATCATATAAAGCTTTCGCCTTTTACAAACAAGAGCAGAGGCAGCCTTCTCTTTCTTTTTCAGTTCTGATATCTGCTAATTTTGCTCTACTAAACCAGAGGAAACTTATCTTACTAACATGAAAATAAACCAAAAAGTTTCACATTCAAATTTAGTATTTGTGAACTGCCCATGAAATAGAAAACCATTGATTTCCTTGTGAGATAATTACAACTTATAGGAAAAAAAAAAAAAAAAAAAAAAAAAAAAAAAAAAAAAAAAAACTCTGCAAGAGTGGCAGTGGCTCACACCTGTAACACCTTTCCCACCCCACCCTCACCCGAGGAAAGAGGATTGAAAGTTTAAGGCTTGCCTGGGCTATAAAGAGTAGTAGCCTTAGCAATTTAATGAGACCCCGTCTCCACTAACAAGTAAAACAAGGGCTGGGGACACAGTTTAGTGTTATAGCACTTGCCTAGCATGCATAAGGTCTTAGGTTCAATTTCTAGTACTGAAAAAAATTAAGGCAATGATATTGGGGGAGTGGGGGTGGGAAGTGTGGTGGCTCCATTATAGAGCACTTGCTCACTATACTAGAAACCCCCCTGGGAACCACACTGGGCACTGCAAATAGTAATAATTTGAAAAGGGAATAAGCGCTACATACATCGGAGCTAACTGTAGTTTGCATCAAAATTAATTTCTGGATGACAATGAAGCTGCCAGGAACTTACAGAAACAGTTTTCCTCTACCTTTTATAAAACCACAAAGGATTACTGAGGAAAGGAGTTACGGAGTCGAGCATCCAGTTCCATGATTTCACCTGCTTGCCCTGTGCAAGCACTCAAAGCCCTCAGCTTCCAACCCCGACCCGCCCACTCGCAGGCAGTCTGAGAGACCGGTGGGCAGCTCAGAGTCCCCGACAGGATTCCCAGCGCAGCTCTCGGGGAGAGAGCGTGGCGGCCGCGGGAGGCAGCTGCGGGCTTGACTCACCCACGCGGTCGCCTCGCACGGCCGCGGGAGAAGGCTCGACTCGGAAGGCGCCGCAGGCGAGTGGCGCCAAGGGCCGAGAAGGCCCCGCCTCGCCCCACTCGGCCTCCGATTGCTCACGTCTGGCCGCCAGCCGGCCGAGGGCCGAGGGCCGAGCGCGTCGCTCCCGCGTCCCCACACCGAGCCCGCCTCGCGTAGGCTGTCGCGGCGGTTGCCCGGGGCTTAGCGGCTCTCGTGTCCCCCTGGCTCCGCGGCTGCCTGGCCCAATGGCGCCTCAGCGGAGGGGACCACCCAGAGTTCCGGAGGGAAGCTCTGCAGCCGAGCGCCGGCGCGCGAACGGGTAGCTAGAACCCCGGGGACTAGGAGGCCGCGCGCACAGGGGGCGGGGCCACCCCGGGGCGGGGCCACCCCGGGGCGGAGTCTGTGGGAGGGGCGGGGCCACGGCCCCGGTGCCTGGTGGCCGAGCGGAGCGTGGCCGAAACACGGGTGGGACCGACACACAACTGTGATGGCACTGGGTCGGCTCCTGACACAGGTATGGGATGGGGCCAGCCTATTGCGATGTAGTCGAGGGGGCGTGGGTTGGAGAGTCGTGGGGCAAACCCCGCATGCCCACCAAGGAGCGCTGCACAGAGGTCCCCCACAGGGAGCCTTTTCCTTGAGGAGTCGTCTGCTTTCAGTCACGTGAGCAGGTTTCCCTCACTAGGGGCCATTTCTGGGCCTTTATGAATCCCTTCTGCTGCGAGTCCATGTCCCACCATCCAACATCCCTGCCAGTTTCCTCACCCCAGCCTTTCACAACTCACCTGTCCAAACTGGCCTTGTGGGCCTCTGTCAAACCCACACCTGAATCCAAAGGATGGAGCCTTGGGGGACAACTAGTTCTGGACAACTCTGCCTGTGTTTCAAGACCTATGTCCCGTGAGACCTTTCCTGGAGGACAGCAGAACTCGAACACCCCAGTTTATACACAGATACGTAGAGACACAGACATGGCTTCATCAGGACTATACAGAACTGGGTCTAGAGACACCCTAACTCATACATCATCTGATACGATTTTGTGCTCTTTCTGGCCCCAGTTTTACGATCTGAGTTAAGTGTGTTTGATTTGTGTAAGTTGGTTCAAGTACACGTGTGTTCTTGTAGACACACATGCTTGGGGACGAGTAATCAAATAGGGATGCATGGGTGTGGTTAGGAACTCTGTGGGCTGGACAGGAAGTGCCTATGGTCAGCCTGATTTTTGTCCATTGAAGCCCATGTTCAGCCCTGTCTAATCAGAGATGACAAGGCCACATACTGCCTGAGTGGTTAGGGTTGGGATGGAGGTATAAGCCCTTGTTTCCCTCCACCTGCTTCATCGTCAGCCCACGAGTACCTGCAATATCTCAGGATTGATGGGGGTCCACCCACGTTGATCAGAGGTCAGTGTAGGCACAGCCCAAGGCTGGTGGCATCCAGTGTGAACATCTTGTGGTTTTGATTGGCATGCTTAGTATGATAGCTGTTGCATCCAGTGGTTATGTTTTCTATTCTCAGCACCAAGAAGGACCGGCTGCCTCGGGAGGCACAGAGGACATGGCTAAGGACTGTGGCCCTTGGAGTAGGTCTTGCTCTGATCACATTCCTGCTCTGGAGTAGTCTGGGGATTGATGACGATGTTGCTGAAGTCTTGGCCCGTCGAGGTGAGGTCCTAGAAGGCAGGTTCATTGAGGTTCCCTGCTCTGAGGACTATGATGGTCACCGAAGATTTGAAGGTATGTGCCACAGGCTTCTCAAGCTCGGTGGTGGTACACACCTTTAATCCCAGCATTCAAGAGGCAGAGGCAGGCTGATCTCTGTGAGTTCAAGGTCAGCTTGGTCTACAAAGAAAGTTCCAGGACAGCCAGGACTGTTACACAGAGAAACCCTGTCTTGACCCCATACACACACAAAAGAGTGAATGATAGGGAGCTGGAAAGATGGGGGTATTTGAGAAGACTTGTTGCTTCTCCAGAGGACCCTAGTGCAGTTCCTAGCACCCTTGGCAGGCAGCTCACAACTACCTGTAACTCCACCTTGAGGAGAGCCAATCCCTCCTCCTTCTGCAATCAGATGCACATACCTACACACAAATACACACAAAATGACAGAAATGAAACTCAGCATTGCTTTTTGCTACAACTGGGATCAGTTGAAAATGTTATGTTTGGGCAGAGACAAACTTTCCCTTCCCAGGCAGGGAGACGGAATGTGTCTGGGTGATACAGAATGTTCAGGAAAACAGCAGCCCAGGGAGGCCTGCACCCCACCCCATCTACCTACACTGGATTGGAGAGTAAAGATGCTTCAGGGTCAGCCTCCAGTGCCACTCTGGTGTAGACAGCACCTTAGCAAGCCTGTGTGTGCAGAGGCTGCATTCAGAGAAGTAACAGGGGTAGGAAGTGAGAGCGGGCCAGCAAGAAGCCTGGGCAGTGGGAAGTACACAACACCAAGCCAGAAGACCTGCATTCAGTACCCTGAATCCACATGGTAGAAGAGAATCCGCTCCCATCAGTGGTTGAGTAAGAAGACCCAACCCTGACCTCCACTCGAGTATCATGTATCCATACACATAAAATAATAAATGTAAAAAAAAAAGTTCTAGGAAGATGAGGATGATAAGAGGGAGACCACAAATGTGATGGTAAGGAACGCCCAGAAGATGTGAAGATGAGAAGATGCCATCCCAGGTGGTAACTCTGCAGCTCCACCAATGGCACTGGTTGAGGCAGGAAGGAGCAGCCAGCTGGTTATAGGCTGGAGCCCTAAGGAAACAGAGGAGGAACCACAGTGTCAGGCCACAGGGCCAAGTGAGGACAGTCAGCACCCTGGAGGGCACACACCCCTGGGCTGGGTGAATGGGGTGGGGTGCAGGTCCTTGGGCTGCTGTTTTCCTGAACATTCTGTATCACCCAGACACATTCTGTTTCTCAAATGTAGCATTTGGGCCTCATAGGCAAACTTTTCTTTCCCCTGCCAGTTCCCAAGGAGACTCATTATTAATTGTAAATGTTTGGCCAATAGCTTAGGTTTGTTACTAGCTAACTCTTACAACTTAAAGGAACCCATTTCTGTTAATCTACATATTGCCATGTGGCTCAGGGCTTTACCTGTCTTCCAGCATGTCTTTGCTCCCTCTGAATCTCCTGGCGACTCCTCTGACTCCACCCTTCTTCTTCCCAGTGTCTTTAGTCTGGCTTTCCCATTTAACCTTATCCTGTCCAGCTACTGGCCAGCCGGCTTCTTTATTAAACAATTACAACATAATTCAGAGTGTACAGAAGGATTATTACACAGCAGGGCCTGGCTCTAAGTAAACCATAGGATGATTGATATATATATATTTACTCTTTGCTCTTTGGGAGCCCACCATCTAGCTCCCAAATAAATACATGGAGACTTATTCGTACTTATGAATGCCTAGCCTTAGCCTGGCTTATTTTTAGCCAGCTTTTCTTAACTTAAATCAATCCATTTCTCGTCTACATTTTGCCTTTTACCTGTCTCTATTCTATATACCTTCCTTTACCTCGTACGCTGTGGCTGGCTGTGTGCTGGATGGCTGGCCCTTGGTGTCCTCCTCTCCTCCTTTTCTCACTCTTTTTCATTTTCCCTTTTTCTCTTATTTATTCTCTCTGCCTGCCAGCCCCACCTGTCGCTCTCCTGCCTACCTATTGGCTGATCAGCTTTTTATTAGACCAATCAGGTGTTTTAGACAGGCAAAGTAACACAGCTTTACAGAGTTAAACAAATGCAACATGAAAGAATGCAGCACATCTTTGCATCATTAAACAAATATTCCACAGCAGGATGGTTCACTTTTCACTCAAAGTAAAGTTCTGGACTTGAATGAAGAAGACAATCTATGTCCTTCCACAAGGGGGCACTGTTGTGATGCACAAAAACTCAGCACTCAGCCACATGGGAGATGGCAGGGAGTGCTTTGTGGACTGGGTGACCCAGGACAAAGGGTGTATCGTTTTCTCCTTTAGCAGTCAGTAAAATAAGCATGTTTCTGTTGTGTTGGATATTCTGCCCTATGACTTTTTCCTTCAGACATCATAATTTACAACACACACACACACACACACACACACACTATAAATGGCAGTTTCCCAGGATTTGCATATCTTGCAGGAAGATCTCCAGAGTTTACAGTCCCATCGAATCAGTAAGAGCATTCATTACACAGCTTACTTGGGGCAAGGGAACTGACCCTTTGCCACCAGGATACAGGAACTTATGCTCTATTCCATCTTGGCCGTCTCTCCCACAAGCCTGACCAATCGCACTCACCTTCCTTCCTCTCACTGTCTGTACTTGACACAGAGGTGGAAGGAGATTTCGAGATAAGTATGGCAGACAGATGCTGTGGCCTGGAGAGGGACAGCGACCAGAATAACAGGTTCAGCTTGGGCTGTGCTGGAACTTTCCAGTGGGTATGTAACAGGGCTCAAACCGGGGCTGGAGAGAATGCTCAGAGGTTTAGAGCACTGACTGTGCTTCCAGAGGTCCTGAGTTCATTTCCCAGCAATCACATGGTGGCTCACAACCATCCGTTACGAGATCTGGTGCCCTCTTCTGGTGTGCAGATATACATGGAAGCAGAATGTTGTATACATAATGAATAAATAAAATCTAAAAAAAAAAAAAAAAATAGTGCTAAAACCAGCCAGCAAGATGTTGCCAAACAATTAGCATGCTAGCATAGGCCTGTAATCTCAGAACTCAGGAGGCTGAGGCAAGAAGTTCTCAAATTTGAGATTTCAGGCATCCTGAACTACATAGTGAGACCATGTTTCTTTTTTTTATATAAGATTTTATTTATTTATTATGTATACAGTTATCTGCATGCATGCTTGCACACCGGAAGAAGGCACCAGATCCCATTACAGATGGTTGTGAGCCACCATGTTGTTGCTGGGAATTGAACTCGGGTCCTCTGGAAGAGCTGTTGGTGCTCTTAACCACTGAGCCATCTCTCCAGTCCCTGAGACTATGTTTCTAACAAACAAGACAAAGCAAAAACCAAAATGCCAATGCAATGTCTGGAGGCTTTCTTGTTTTCCCAGGCTTTGGGAGCAGTAAGTGGTATAGGTATGTGGGAATCCCAGGACACCTGGTGGGGAGATGTAAGCTCTGAGGTTGTACATAGGTTGTACACAGTTCTGGCAAAAAAGTTACCACTGTTAGGGGCTGGAGAAATGGCTTGGTGGTTAAGAGCACTGGCTGCAGTTCTCAGCATCCAGTTCCAGGGGATCTGAAACCCTCACACAGACAAATGTATACATAAAATAAGAGTCAGTTAAAAAAAGTTTTTTTACAGGCAAAGCCGTGGTGGCGCACACCTTTAATCCCAGCACTCAGGAGGCAAAGGCAGGCGGATCTCTGTGAGTTCAAGACCAGCCTGGTCTACAAGAGCTAATTCCAGGACAGCCTCCAAAGCCACAGAGAACCCCTGTCTCAACAACCCCCCCCCTCCACCAAATTTTTTTACAGTTACCACTGTTTATCTGAAGTTGACTTTTAACTAGGTGTATTAGCCAAAGTGGCCCTCTAGTCACGGGGAGGGCACCGTGGCTTTGGCTGTCAGCATTTCTCCTTGACTCTCACCCTCCAGGCTGCACCCCCAGGAAGTGTGGCAGAGGTGTCACTGACATGGTGATCACCAGGGAGGAGGCCGAGCAGATTCGCAGGTACTTACCCATCTCTGTGCTTTGCCCAGGGCATCCATGAAGCGGGTATAGCAGTGAATAGGGTGTGAGCCAGGGCGGCAACAGAGTGGAGAGAACCCTCATAGTTCTGTGGATCATCCCCAAGGTTTTGGAGGGGTTTGGGAGGGGGGGGGGGGTCAAAGGGCAGGCTTCCTGTTTCCTCCCTCCTTGAAGAAATGATATGGCCTTAGTAGTGTTTCTGCTGACTGAGTAGTCTGGAGCCCAGCCTCCCCTCCAGGAAGCTTACTGTGCTGTGTGAACAAGGCCTCTTCCAGCCCCAGCTGACAACCTCTAGATGATACTGCGTCTCGCTGTGGTGCATGAGTGCTAGTTCAGAAGCACCGCGTGCTGGGGTTTTCTTCGTGTGGGGATTTCTGACGAGCTGTCCAGAGCCCGCGTGTGACTCTTCATTTGCCCTGCGCCCCATTGTCCTCCGTCCTCACGCTGCTCCTGCTGTGGTGCCCAGCCGGGAGCCTGTCCTCTGTATCCTCCTCCCTACCCTATCCTATATCGCTGCCTGCCATACCTGAGGGTAACAATGCTTTGCTGAGGAGGGAGTGCTCCTGGGTGGCCTTGTCAAAGCTGCTTGCTCCTCAGTACGGTGGTCCTCTCTGGGCTGCTATGGTTCTTCCACAGTCTGAGCTGTGATCACCTGGGAGCTGTCAGGTCACAGACAAATGAAGAAGTCACTTGCTATCATTGTCAGGAGTTAGGCCAGTGCTTTCCAAACAGGCCATGTGTCAATACCAAGAGGATGATGGATCCTCAGCTTTGAAAGTTGCAGTTTTGAGTTTCTATGTTTGTTTCCATCGTAAATGTTAAACCAGCAGAACCTACAGAGCAGGCACTATTACACTGATTGATGTTTTGCTTAGATGCTTTATGGATAATGCTATCAACTAAATTTTGACTTTATCCCCCACAGAATAGCAGAGAAGGGGCTCTCCCTAGGTGGATCGGATGGAGGGGTGAGTTGACATGGTGTCTGTTCCCATTTTCTTGATAATTTTAAATTTGCTCTCCATGGAAGGGAAGGAGAAAGTGTTGGACACACAGGGTCCCCTCTGTTTCCCAGAACAGCTGTGGGCTGATCCATCCATGATGTTTCTCAGACAGCAGCTGGTGTTCCTTTTGCCTGGTGGGCACAAAATATATCTCTCTTGGGAAGAATGTGTTTTAAGTCATCATGGCCATCTCTTCAGGCTGTCATAGGCTGCCTGGCTTCAGGTCACACTGGCACTTTAGACACTCTGGATAGAGACAGGGAGAAAGGGGAAGGAGTGAGAGAAGGGGAGAGGGAGGGAGCTGACAAAGGAGTCAGAAGCCTGGTGGCCAGGTGGCACCTGTAATGTAATTTGGAAATGGGATTTTTGTAGGTGTAAGTGAAGGAAAGTCCTCCTCAGGAGCCCCAAATCCAAGGACAGGTATCTGTACAAGAGAGAGCCAAAGACTGGATGGTGGTGGCTCATACCTTTAATCCCAGCACTCGGGAGGCAGAGGCAGAGGCAGGCGGATCTCTGTGAGTTCCAGGCCAGCCTGATCTACTGAGTGAGTTCCAGGACAGCCTCCAAAGCTACAGAAAAACCCTGTTTTGAAAAACAAGCAAGCACCCAGCACTCGGGAGGCAGAGGCAGGTGGATCTCTGTGAGTTCGAGATCAGCCTGGTCTACAAGAGCTAGTTCCAGGACAGCCTCCAAAGCCACAGAGAAACCCTGTCTCGAAAAAAACAAAAACAAAAAAAAAAAAGAAAGAAAGGAAGAAAGAAAGAAAGAAAGAAAGAAAGAAAGAAAGAAAGAAAGAAAAATTCTTATGGGGTTGAGCTAAATCACCAACCCCATAAGTTTAGTAAACATTGAGTAAGCCCATGTTGTGTCCACACCTTAGCTAAGTAACTATGGGAATAAGGAAAGAGGCCTGGCGTATGTTACTACTGACCATGAGTGAGGTAAAATGGTCCATTTTGGTGGCTGCTTTCCTCCTGGAATATAGGGAAAGAGGTAGGCCGTGACGGTCAGAAAACATTTTAGCAGTTTCTTGAAAGTTACCAATGCATAGTTCCACATAAAGTGTTTAACTGGGAGCCTCCCAAGAATGTGCCACATGCATCTGTGGCCAGTGTGCACAGAAAAACCCAAGGCCATCACAGGGATAGGCCATCAGGTTTGACACACACTTCCAATGGAACATAGAGCTTCAGGTGTCCAGGATGGGCTGGCAGAGAAAGGCATCGAGCAGAGAGGGATCACAAAAGGGTGTAGTTGGTGTACGTGCACAAGTGTACACTTACACAACACTGCACACTCCACACATGGACAGAATCATGTGTGTAATTTTTACCTTGGCAAAGTGGAAGTCAGTAGGGTGAGCTGTAACTCGCCATAAGCATCCCCAAATGTGTCTAGGGAGTGTGTCTGGGAACTCTTTCTGAAAGTGTTAGTGTAAAAAGTTTGTTTTCCTTTCTGGACAGGAGAGAGAGAGAGAGCGAGAGAGAGAGAGAGAGAGAGAGAGAGAGAGAGAGAGAGAGAAGAATGTTTATACAATGGATTGTGGTAACAGGGGCTCAAGTTTGGCCGCTAGAGTGACCATCACTTGTTTTACACACATAACGTCTTTTTTTCAGGCATCTATCCTGGACTTGCACTCTGGGGCCCTGTCTGTTGGGAAACATTTTGTGAACCTGTACAGGTGAGAGGCTGGGGGAAGTGAAGAGTTTAGGATGCAGGTGGGCATCTGGCCAGTGGGTTTCAGGGAGCTGTGATCTTCTTCACGGGCTAGAGAGGCACCTGAGAGAGTTCTCAGCCTCATCGTCGTCATGCTGATTCCCCTCCCTTCCTTCCTGTCTTCCTTTCTTCCTCCCCAGCCTTCTCACTTCCTGTCCCTGTCCTTCTCTGTAACCTAGCGATTACTGTAGGAATGGAATAACTCCCATGGTTTGACCACTCTACTTCTGGAGACTTGCTGATTAGCTAGGAAAGACTGATGAAAAGAAACAAGGGAGCTGGGCGTGGTAGTTCATACCTGTCATCTGAAGCAGGAGGATTACCCCAAGTTGCAGATCAGCCTGAGCTATAGAGTGAGACCCTGGATTTTTTTTTTAAGGCAAGGAAAAGATTAGTAACGTGCTATATCTGCTAATGTTATTTATTATTTCACAGATACTTTGGGGATAAAATACAAAATATCTTCTCTGAGGAGGACTTCCAGTTATATAGGTAAGGAAGATGAAGTTCAAGAAGGGCCAAGTGGGGCCAGATATGCAAAGTGGGCTGCGATTGGCTCTCTGATGTCCTGTCACATCAGGCCAGGGCAATGGCTCCTGTGTGGGGACTGAGACCTGTGGATGCAGACAAAGCCTAGTTTGTCTCTGGGTAGATGGGCAGCTCCCCTAATACTTTTATTTTCTTTCCTTTAATATTTTCTAAGCCCTCTTGGTCCTGTAGCAGACATGTCCTGCTATTGGTTACAGCCCAACACCAGTCACATGATTCTTGCCCAGTGCTCACCCAGAGGCAGCTTGCCTATCTGGGGTATTTCTCTAAAGTAAAGCTTTTATTTAAAGGTTATTAAGACGTGTATTACAGGGGGCTGGAGAGATGGCTCAGAAGTTAAGAGCACTGGTTGCTCTTCCAGAGGACCCTGTGGATGGGCTTTTCTTTCCTGCCAGTCCCCGACATGGAGACTCAATATTAATTATAATGCTTGGTCGATAGCTCAGGCTTATTACTAACTAGCTCTTACAACCTAAATTACCCATTTCTATTAATCTGTGGATTGCCACATGGCTTGTGGCTTTACCTGTCCTCAGCATGTCTTACTCCCTCTTCGTCTCCTGGCGACTCCTCCGACATCACTTCTTCCCAGAATTCTCCTGGTCTGGCTCTCCACCCAGTCTCTCCTGCCCAGCTGTAGGCCAGTCAGCTCTTTTTTAACCAATGAGAGTAATACATATTTATAGTATACAAAGCTTGTTCCATAGCAGGATCCAGGTTTAATTCTCAGAACCCACATGGCAGTTCACAACTGTCTGTAACTCCAGTTCCAGAGGATCCAATACCCTTACTCAGACATGCATGCAGACAAAACACTGATGCACTGATGAGATAAGAATAAATAAAATTATTTTTAAAAAGGCAAGTGTTATAGCATAGGAAATAGTCCAGGGAGAGATTATATACACTATCTATGTAGTTAGACCTATCACTAATGTTGCCTAACCGCACTGTGACATCACTCACCAGAAAGAGCACTGGTACAGCACTCTGATCGTGTTCAGAATTCCAGGCTTTACTTGCAATCATGTGTGTGTTGAATTTTATCACCTACTAGACACTGAACATGCCATCAGAGAGCACCAAGTTTCTGCTGCCCTTTGTAGCCCTATGCCCGCCCATCTCTGATGATCAAAAACTCATCTCATCATCAGCCATGTTGCCTGGAAACATAGCTGATATCTCACCTTCATTATGATCCCAGGAAACCAAGCCTAGGTTCTGGTCTAGAGAGCACGTGGAGGGCGTGGCTAACTCTGCGTACCTGGCAGTGGCAACAATGAGTTGTCACTTAATGCACAATATGCTGCAGATGGAAGGGAGCCGTCAGGAGCTTTGCAGTAACTTCCGAGGGTCCCACCTTTCACATAGCTCTGCTCTGTGCTACCTTCAAGACTTGGGACGTAGCCCACGACTGTCTCCAGCTGACCAGCTGTGCTCCTGCCCTCACTAGGTTTTTTATTCTTGTTTATTCCCAGTATGCACACACTGGCTTAAATAGAAAGTGTCTGTGATATTTTGACATTGTAAGTTACACAATTTATAAGAGAGAAAAATAGTATTAGTAATAATGCTGGGTAGTGGTGGCACATGCCGTTAATCCCAGCACCCAGGAGGCAGCAACAGGCAGATCTCTAAGTTCAAGGCCAGCTTAGTCTACAGAGTCAGTTCCAGGACAGCCAGGGTTGCACAGTGAAACCACATCTCAAAATACCCAAACGAAACCAAATGAAACCAAACAAAAAAAATCAATGCCTCTCCCCAAAAAACCCCAAGCAGCAAGATACCTAATGTGACAGGAAAGCAAAACTGAGCTGTATGCTCTTGAGCATCATGAACAAACCTCCCTAAGCCACAGAGAGCAGAGCACGTTCTACACAGTCTTCCCTCCACACATAGACCTGGACAACTGTGGACCTCTGGACAACCAGGAGCCTGCATAGCAGACACAAAACTTGAAGATCATTGCCAGACACAGGAATGCTCCTTGCAGACATTGCCACCTGCAGATGGTATGAAAGAGAATTAAAGGTGGAAAACACTAAATACTGATTTTATCCAAAGGTCTGCTATATTCTGTCCTGTGTAGGAGTTAAGTGGGGATTTGCAATTAGGAGGAAAAGTGAAGACTATCCCAATCAGTTTCAGTATATAAAACATTTGAAGTAGTTAAAACTTCTAAAAACATCAGATTGATCTATTGTGTCCTCTGCAGGGATGTGCGGCAGAAGGTCCAGCTCACCATTGCCAAAGCTTTTGGCATCAGTGCATCCTTGCTGTATCTGACAAAGCCCACATTCTTCTCCCGAATCAATAGTACGGAAGCCCAGACGGCTCACGATGAGTACTGGCATGCACACGTAGACAAGGTGAGCATTTGGTAAGCGGGTTCTAGGCATCTGCTCTGCAGTCTCTGTGCACTATTTTAGACCTCTTCTTCCTGGGTTTCTAGGGGGTATTCGACTCAGACAATTGAGGAAATAGACTTTGTTTCCTGGGTGTCTAGGGCTGGAACAGAAAGTGTGGTGGCTGCTGGGGAGTGGCGCAGGCCTTGTGCTATCCTTTGTTCTGTACTTGTTTCCAAATCCATTTACAACCTTTCTGATTGGACTGTGTAAACGAAGAGTCCCTTTTGTTGCTTCTCTGGCCCAGGTCTCTGTATCCCCACAGGATGTCCTCCTTCCATCACAGTTTTTTTTTTCCTTTTTTTTTTTTTTCTTTATCTCCTCACTAAGACCTTGTTACCTGAAGCAGGGAAGCCCTGGGGGATCACTTGTGTCCTTGTCCTCTGTACAGAAGAGAATTTAGGATGAGTCAGGGAAGCAAAGCTAGAAAATTTATTGATGAAGGCTGAAGACACTTGAGGAGGGTTGGTGTTAGGAACGGAGTGTACTGAGGAGCCCCAGCGGTCACCGTGAATATGATTTGGGAGCTTTGAAGTTGCTTGGTCTGCAGCCAGGTTTAGACGTCAGGGGGTTTATTCTGGCATACTTTTTCTTCCTTCTTTTCTTCTTATTTTTTTCAAGGCTGGGTTTCTCTGTGTAGCCCTGGCTGTCCTGGAACTCACTCTGTAGACCAGACTGGCCTTGAACTCAGACATCAACCCACCTGCCTCTGCCTCCCCAGTACTAGAATTCAAGGCATGTGCCACAGCCGCCAGGCTTGGCATACTTTTTCTTATCCAGAGAATTTTGCCCTTGAAGAAGAGTCTGTTTTAGGTACGCTGGACAGGCTTGCTGCTGGAGAAGGGAGTACTACTAGAGATAAAACGCTCATGCAGGGGATGGGACCCAGTTGATAGAGTGCTTGCCTGGCATGCGTGGGGCCCTGGATCCAATCCCCAGCATCCTATAAACTGGACAAGATGGCTTGTACCTGTAACCCCAGCACTTGGGAGGTGGGAGCAGGAGTTCAAGGTCACCTTCTGCTGCATAGAGAGATCGAGTCCAGTCTGGACTGCATGACACTGCCTCAAAATAACACAAAGGCCAACAACCCCATTCGCTAAAGGGCCCCTTATTGCTATGTAAGTCAAATGTAGACCTGTATGTCCCATAGGACATACTTCATTAGCCACGTAATTTGTGATGTTTCTCAGAAAGTGGGTACCGTCATTTTGCAGGTGGTCTGGTTCGTTATGTAAAAACTCCTGGGGTGTCAGCCAGTGAGAAATGGCAATCAGAGCAGAGAGAGTGAGGAGCTATTTCACTTCTCTTATCCTCTCTGCTTCCTAACTAGTTATCTGCCTTGGTTAGTTCAGCCCTGCAGGGATTTCTCAGCCCCTGTAGGTCAGTTATACCCAGTCACTGACATTAATCTTCTCTATGAAGGTCTCTTCCCCTGTACTGTGGACAGCAGGTGAGGACTCCTATCCAGCATGCAGTTCACCTAACATAGTGCCAGGTGGCTGCCAAGATACTATGAGAAAGTGGAATGCCACCCCTTCTGTGCCATAGTCTGCTGCCACAATTTTCTTTGAGCATGGTAACTGTGGCTTAGGAGGGTGTTTGCAGTCTGTGAGGGTGGGCTGAAGTTTATAAGGAGTCAGAACAGGGCAGCGATCCTGTGTCCGCCCATGCTTCCTGCTGCTGCTTGCTCTGCCTGGGTCTTTTGATGTTTGTAGTGGTTCATCTTTGCTTTTCTGAGACAAGGTTTCTCTGTGTAGCCCTGGCTGTCCTTGAACTTGCTCTGTGGACCAGGCTGGCCTCCAACTCAGAGTTCTCTGCTTCCCGAGCGCTGGGATCAAAGGCATGCACCACCACCACCTGGCTCATCTTTGCTTTCTTCAACTTGAGTTTCACTGCTGAAGCTTCCAGAGTCAGTGAGTCAGCAAGCCCTGGCTTGCAGGGCTCATGTTACTTTGGTTTAGCCTAGGGAGACGATGCTGGGTTGGGGAGCACCCTGCTCGTGAGGTCAAGCTGGATCCACCAACAGAGACTGACACCCACAGGCAGGAGCCTTGCATCGTGTCCCGTTGTGTTTAGGGAGTATTTCTCACACCTTACTGGCGTGCTCACCCTCGAGGGCCTGCTGCTCATGGCCGACATTTCCATCCATGTTAGCAGATGACCGTTGTTACGGTGACTGGTCAGGGCACAGAAGCAGCAGGGGAGAGCAGAGTTTAGACTTACTCAGGAGGTGTTGGCTTTGTGCTCTTCATTAGGGTCCTGTTCTCACAGTGACAACAGGGCTGATCAATCACTTGATTCTGTCTTTAAACTCAGGATGCAGCCAGTAGGGAATCATGGAGGGTGTGGGAGGGTGGGAGGGTGGGAGGGTGCTGATGGCTTAATGCCTGGAGCTGGTCCTTGGAGTCTCATTGTTCTTGTCTGCTACCCCAGACTTGCTAATTGAATGATTCATCAGGCTGGAAACTATTCTAATGTGATTGAGATTCTGTGTACATCTTGGTGGCACACCTCACTAGTTACCTTTGTTAACTGGATGTTGATTTGCGAGTGTTCTCTCTGACATCACTTGGAAACAGCTCTGCATGTGGCAGGCTCTCGCCTGCAATACGGGGCACTGGAAACTTCCTTGTAGCACCTGCCATCTGCAGTATGTTCTGAGGATCCTCCAAGTAGCTCCTCAGAAATGACTGTCATACCTGGCTTCAGGTCTCTAAGGAAACTCTGGAGCTCTGTCACAGTGCCTTTGTGTAAGCCCAGCAGCAGTGGTCAGAGCCTAGAGCTTTCCTGTGCTGTCTCCCAAAATCACATCTACTTGAGGAGGCCCCTGGTGTGCTTCTTGCAGGAACTTGAACACACTTCTTACTTCATGAAATATGGACTAAGGGGCTCTTGAGTGAGTGTAGATCTGCAGGCACAAGCATAGAGCCAACAAACTGAAGAGACTTGTGACCCTGAGTGAAGTCTATCCTTTTAGAAGCTTAGCTGCATGAATCATCCCTCTCTCCCCTGGTGTGTGACTCTAGCCTGCGGATGGGCATGGCTACTGTGCCACGGTTCGTTCGCTCTCTGCCCAACGTCATCTTCTTCTCTACTTGCAACACCTGCCCGAGACAGTTGCAGCTTTCCCACCTGCAGTGTCGTGCTTCGCTCATCCAGTTCCTGAACTAACCATAACTAGCCTAAGAAAACATGTATACAGTCTTTTTCTCCCTTTTTTTGTTTTGTTTTGTTTTGAGACAGGGTTTCTTTGTGTAACAGCTCTGACTGTCCTGAAACTCAGCTTTGTAGACCAGAGAGCTTTGTAGACC